AGGGAGGTGAGGAGTGACGGTGCGGCTGCAGACCCCAGCGCGCGGGGAGGGGGGGTGTGAGGGGAGGGGGGGCAGGGGCGTACACAGACCGCCGGCGTCACCGCCCGGCTGTGACGCGCCGGCGCCCCCGCGGCTGCAGCGGGGCACGTGACCCCCGCGCGGGTCCCCGCCGCTGCGGTGCGCACGTGATGCAGGGGCGGCAAGGTCGACAGACGCCAAGGTCGGCGTGTGGCGGGCGTCACCACCGTGTGGAATATGGAAAACGTCGTTACGAGGGACCACACCATGGCTATATGCTGTGGTTCACGTGGACCACACCGCATGGTGGCGGCCGGTTTCGGTGAGTGTGCTTGTATTTCAGGGTCGTTACGCTAACGAGCCTCGGAAGAATGCGGCGGACCGTTCAGCTCGCGAGCTTTAATCGGGCCGCTGTTTTCGGAGCGTCAACAGACCAGCAGTAATATTTCACGTGAAGCTGCCACGAGCTCATTAACATAATCACTTCATTTACACGCCGTCTGAGCGCCGAAAGCTTTCTTGCGCTGCACCGCCGCGAAGGCAGGCGTCCCCTGCATTGAGCGGCGGCCCTCCGGCTGTAATAGACGGCGCCCTCAACCCGTCCAGCACAGCCTCCGTCCGGCGGCAGTACCACTAAGGTAATCATGCAAACGTTGCTATTGGCATTTTGCACGCATCACTGGCACACTGATATAAGCAATGAAAACCAAACTCAAAATGGGTTCTTCACTGCATCACACCAAACTAGTGTCAGTCATTTTGAATGTCTTAGTGAGGCCGGCAGCTGCGCCGCTTGTGCAGAAACTGATGCTGCAATCATCTCCACAGATGGCGGAATTACTTCACTCCCGCGATTTGGAACACAAAGGGGAGAGTACCCCCAACCAGGATTTTCGTCGATGTATCACGAGACAGTTTCTGGCTCCGAGATTAATTGGTGTAAATCACTCACATATGAAATCGGTTTTCATGGATTGGACTGAGTTATGAAGCGGTTGTGTCGATACCAGACAGGATGTGCAGCCCGGAACAAGTAATAACGCTGTTTCAGACCCAAATAGCCAGCCGACGGGACTCGAATGGATCTATGCTCGTCGCGTTGTTCATCGTTTTCCGCGAACAATCACATGTCATGAACCAAAGCCCATACTTTTTCATCGATAAGTCCCAAATGCAACTCTGCTTTCCATTTAATCGCAGCCGACTCCGTGACACACTCGTTCTGAGGAGCGAAACAAGCCACGATCTGTGATAACCGACCTTCTTCATTCTGTTTGGAACGAAAGCGTGCTGGCCCTCGTGCAGCACCATCGATCGAATGATGTCACCAGCAAAACCCCTGCTGCAGTCACCTGCACCATTGACAGCGAGAAGGTCTGTCACACCCTGCACGTGACCTGCTTTAGAGTGTCCGCGGTTAGGTCCTGCGCACACGCCGCTCTCCTCATCCCCGCCCTATCGCGGCCGATCAGCAGACAATGCGCTCGCCTCTCTCACCCTGCGCGGCCAGACGATCGGCGCTCGGAGGGAGGTGAGGAGTGACGGTGCGGCTGCAGACCCCAGCGCGTGGGGAGGGGGGGTGTGAGGGGGGGGCAGGGGCGTACACAGACAGCCGGTGTCACCGCCCGGCAGTGACGCGCCGGCGCCCCCGCGGCTGCAGCGGGGCACGTGACCCCCGCGCGGGTCCCCGCCGCTGCGGTGCGCACGTGATGCAGGGGCGGCAAGGTCGACAGACGCCAAGGTCGGCGTGTGGCGGGCGTCACCACCGTGTGGAATATGGAAAACGTCGTTACGAGGGACCACACCATGGCTATATGCTGTGGTTCACGTGGACCACACCGCATGGTGGCGGCCGGTTTCGGTGAGTGTGCTTGTATTTCAGGGTCGTTACGCTAACGAGCCTCGGAAGAATGCGGCGGACCGTTCAGCTCGCGAGCTTTAATCGGGCCGCTGTTTTCGGAGCGTCAACAGACCAGCAGTAATATTTCACGTGAAGCTGCCACGAGCTCATTAACATAATCACTTCATTTACACGCCGTCTGAGCGCCGAAAGCTTTCTTGCGCTGCACCGCCGCGAAGGCAGGCGTCCCCTGCATTGAGCGGCGGCCCTCCGGCTGTAATAGACGGCGCCCTCAACCCGTCCAGCACAGCCTCCGTCCGGCGGCAGTACCACTAAGGTAATCATGCAAACGTTGCTATTGGCATTTTGCACGCATCACTGGCACACTGATATAAGCAATGAAAACCAAACTCAAAATGGGTTCTTCACTGCATCACACCAAACTAGTGTCAGTCATTTTGAATGTCTTAGTGAGGCCGGCAGCTGCGCCGCTTGTGCAGAAACTGATGCTGCAATCATCTCCACAGATGGCGGAATTACTTCACTCCCGCGATTTGGAACACAAAGGGGAGAGTACCCCCAACCAGGGTTTTCGTCGATGTATCACGGGACAGTTTCTGGCTCCGAGATTAATTGGTGTAAATCACTCACATATGAAATTGGTTTTCATGGATTGCACTGAGTTATGAAGCGGTTGTGTCGATACCAGACAGGATGTGCAGCCTGGAACAAGTAATAACGCTGTTTCAGACCCAAATAGCCAGCCGACGGGACTCGAATGGATCTATACTCGTCGCGTTGTTCATCGTTTTCCGCGAACAATCACATGTCATAAACCAAAGCCCATACTTTTTCATCGATAAGTCCCAAATGCAACTCTGCTTTCCATTTAATCGCAGCCGACTCTGTGACACACTCGTTCTGAGGAGCGAAACAAGCCACGATCTGTGATAACCGACCTTCTTCATTCTGTTTGGAACGAAAGCGTGCTGGCCCTCGTGCAGCACCATCGATCGAATGATGTCACCAGCAAAACCCCTGCTGCAGTCACCTGCACCATTGACAGCGAGAAGGTCTGTCACACCCTGTACGTGACCTACTTTAGAGTGTCCGCGGTTAGGTCCTGCGCACACGCCGCTCTCCTCATCCCCGCCCTATCGCGGCCGATCAGCAGACAATGCGCTCGCCTCTCTCACCCTGCGCGGCCAGACGATCGGCGCTCGGAGGGAGGTGAGGAGTGACGGTGCGGCTGCAGACCCCAGCGCGTGGGGAGGGGGGGTGTGAGGGGGGGGCAGGGGCGTACACAGACAGCCGGCGTCACCGCCCGGCAGTGACGCGCCGGCGCCCCCGCGGCTGCAGCGGGGCACGTGACCCCCGCGCGGGTCCCCGCCGCTGCGGTGCGCACGTGATGCAGGGGCGGCAAGGTCGACAGACGCCAAGGTCGGCGTGTGGCGGGCGTCACCACCGTGTGGAATATGGAAAACGTCGTTACGAGGGACCACACCATGGCTATATGCTGTGGTTCACGTGGACCACACCGCATGGTGGCGGCCGGTTTCGGTGAGTGTGCTTGTATTTCAGGGTCGTTACGCTAACGAGCCTCGGAAGAATGCGGCGGACCGTTCAGCTCGCGAGCTTTAATCGGGCCGCTGTTTTCGGAGCGTCAACAGACCAGCAGTAATATTTCACGTGAAGCTGCCACGAGCTCATTAACATAATCACTTCATTTACACGCCGTCTGAGCGCCGAAAGCTTTCTTGCGCTGCACCGCCGCGAAGGCAGGCGTCCCCTGCATTGAGCGGCGGCCCTCCGGCTGTAATAGACGGCGCCCTCAACCCGTCCAGCACAGCCTCCGTCCGGCGGCAGCGGGGTCGGCAGCGGGCGGTGGTGCAGCGCGCTAGCCGAGGTCACTGGCCCGCGCCGGTCCCGGCGGCGCCTGCAGCGCCCCCGCACGGCCTCCTCCTGAGTTATCGCCGCCGCTCCACCGCCGCCGGCATGGTTCGGCCGGACCCAGCTGGGGCTCGCCGCCGGCGTGAAGTGTACAACAGCAAAGCGTATTTACACCGAGGAACGGAAAACGCCACATTGCGAGTTTTTTGTCCAACTCGAATGTTGATGTTAAGGAGCGCACGCTGGTGTGCCCTTCACAGCCGAGCCGTCGATACTGACGAGCTCTCGCTTATCATCCATGGCTCGCCAACGGCCCGGGCGAGTGCTGAAACCATCATCAGCAGTACAGCCAGGAATGGCGGGGCATTTCCAGTCCGAACCATACCCGGGGCGCCGACATACAGCGGCCCCTATGGGTCCCGATGTCGGCTGGTGTCGGCGGGATGTCCACGGGGGCGGCAGCAGTGGTCGAACCCGGCTATTGGTGCGGTCACCCCCTCACTCAGAGGCGCGGTCAGGACCGCACTCAGAGGAGAACAAAGGGACTCCTTACTGTGTGGTAGTCGGCACTTAATTTTCATGTGGCAGTTGTCACAGTCGTTATCTTATCGCTATATCATGCATCGTGGAGTTCAAGCCCGGATGCGCCTATCTTTGTTATGACCAGCGGCGACCGGATTATTTACATTCAAATGCTTACCAGACTGAACATGTCTTTGAAAGGATCTCGAGACTTGGCATGTCTTCGTGCAGAACAAACAAGGTGAGTTACATTATCTGTTATTAGTTTGATGTTTTACTCAAATGATATGGTGTCATGGATCGGTGCAATCGATCTTGGTGCCTGGTTGCATCACTGCTTGTCCGCTTTCTCCCGGGTGACTGCCCAGCCTGCCTTCAGCCGCCTCCACCGTCTAGCGGACCACTGCATTCCGTCCTCGAGCTCTGCACTGTCACGCGCCTAAAACATCCGAAAAAAATGGCTCAATCATTTCCCTCCGACCTTTTTCCTCGATTGGGCGCCACATACCGAGCATTGCTGAGACCACCTTCCTGAGCCCATGGCCCAGCACTCCCACACGCCCCTCGTGCCGCCACCTGACCTCGCTCAGCCGGCTATAGCCGGCGCGCCGCCGCCCCCCAGGTTGTGTTCGCTGACGCCGCGCCTGGCACATACCTGCCCGACTGCCGGGACGCGGAGCCGGCCGGCCGGCGGCGGCCGCGGCCCCAGTGCGCCCGGCACGCTGGCGGTTCGTGGAGCCGCCGCGCGCCCGTCGCCACGCGAGCCGTCCGCGAGCGGCTGCTCCACAGCCGCCGACCCGCCTTGACGCTCGGAGTTGGGCCGCGTGTCCGCAGTGTGAGTGGCCGCCTGTGACGGGAGGGGCCCGGTCGGAGTGCGTCGGGTGGCGGAGCGACCCAGTGTGATCGGGATCAGTCGTGGCGGCGTCCGCGCCTGACCCAGAGCCCGGTGCGCCCGCCGGTGACCGTTAGCGGCAGCGCGCGCGGTCCGCGCGGCGCCGCGCGCCAAACCGCCGCGAATCGGCGCCGACGGCCAGTGACGGATCGTGCGCGGGCGGGGACTCCGCCGCCGTCTCCACCGCCGCAGTCTCTGTGCGAGGGGCCACGCCAGCCGCTCCGTGCCCGGGAGAGAGAGCGAGAGCGCGCGCGCACGCGAGCGGGCCCAGCGACCGCCGTCGGAGGAGCCGGTCGTGAGCAGACAGGTGTCGAGAGCGGCCGTCGCCGCCACTGTCGCCGGGCTGTCAGCCGACGCGTGACCCCACGGCTGACCCCGAGTGGTGAGAGGCGCTGCTTTGTTGTGACCGCTGCCCGCCCGCCCGTCAGTGGCCCACAAACCGCCGCGGCGGAGCTGCAGACTGGGAACGCGAGGATGCAGTGGCGGAGGCTCTGAGGCCATCATTGCTCCGCGGCAGCGGTTCACGGTGAGTTCTCACCTCGCGTAGGGGAGTTGGGATTTTTTTCCAGCGGTATGGAAACAGATATTTCGTCCTCTCCCCATTCTGCCCATATATCACTTCCCCTCGACGAAGGCGTGTTCTGCTACTGTATTGAGCTGTACTTCCCCGGCTCTCCTGGTACGGCCCGGTATGCTGGCTTGGTGCTTTGTTGATCCTGAGTCGGTGTTTATACCTATTATGGGCGTGGGTCTTGTCAGGCGTGGATCACGCCTGAGCCGTGTCCGGGTCGGGTCAGACGCGTCTCCGGTCACGCGTGTATCACACACGAGCCGTGTCCGGGTCAGGTCAGACGCGTCTCCGGCCACGCGTGTATCACACCTGAGCCGTGTCCGGGTCAGGTCAGACGCGTCTCCGGTCACGCGTGTATCACACCCGAGCCGTGCCCGGGTCAGGCCAGACGCGTCTCCGGTCACGCGTGTATCACACCCGAGCCGTGCCCGGGTCAGGTCAGGCGCGTCTCCGGTCACGCGTGTATCACACCCGAGCCGTGTCCGGGTCAGGTCAGGCGCGTCTCCGGTCACGCGTGTATCACACCCGAGCCGTGTCCGGGTCGGGTCAGACGCGTCTCCGGTCACGCGTGTATCACACCCGAGCCGTGTCCGGGTCAGGTCAGACGCGTCTCCGGTCACGCCTGTATCACACCTGCGTGTATCACACCTGAGCCGTGTCCGGGTCAGGTCAAGCGCGTCTCCGGTCACGCCTGTATCACACCTGCGTGTATCACACCCGAGCCGTGTCCGGGTCAGGTCAGACGCGTCTCCGGTCACGCCTGTATCACACCTGCGTGTATCACACCTGAGCCGCGTCCGGGTCAGGTCAGGCGCGGCAGACTGACGTCAGCCTCTGTGGCCGGTGTCTGAGGCGGTGGAGGCGCGCCGGACCGCCCGGCCGAGCTTTCACCGCGGGGCGGGAGACGCCGCGCGGCGCCGGCTGCGCGGTCCCCGCGGCCGCACCCGCCGTGGCGTGTCATCACGCGAGCACGGGCCTGGCTCGAGCCGGCGCGTCCGGCTCCAAGCCAGGCCCGCGCCGGCCGGCCACGCAGCTGCACCTCGACACGCTCGCCGCAGTAAAAACAACCAAAACGCTAATTGTTATGTGTGGGTTCTTGCAATATTTTGGTCGTAGGGTCGACGCTAAGATGAGAAGCATTCATGGCTTGTGTCATTTGGACGGATAACCGGTAAGTACGTGGTTCTGCGCGCTTTTGTGCATTACATCCAGAAGCATCACATTGCTACTTTACAATGGGCTTCACAGCACCTCGCACAATAACACAATGCCCGAGCTCCCATTACCATAATGCGACCAGCCACGGTGTGGTGTGGTGACCTCTGACCCCTGTCCGTGACCTGGATGTGGTCTCGTGACCTCGTGAAATGACACCTGACGCGCTGCTCTTGAGTCGCTGTGGCCGGTCGCCCGGTCGCTCTCGGCGAAAATTCACGAGTCAACGCTTCATGCATTTCGATTTTCTCACTCCTGCGTGGTGAATCACCAGGAAAGTCACAACCACTTGGCAAATCGCAGCGGTTACTAGCTTCCGTTTCAAGTCCTCATTTGGGTCTTTGAAATTTAAACTGCGACTCTTCTAAGCAGCGTCAAGGATGACAGCAGTAAAAAGTGCGACCGTGCCAATTAGCCGTCCGCAACATGCCAGCACAAGACGATTAACAAGCAAGAGCATTCCCTACGGACGTGCCTTGACCCGAGGCCAGCCCCGCCCCCTCCCCTCCCGCCGCACGGCGTGTCCTTGGCCAGGGTCGCGGAGGGCGCGGCTTGCTCTCGGACCGGTCTGGGTGCAGCGTGCCGGCCTCCGTCGCCGCCCTCCCGGCGGACTCTGCTGCCTCGCAGCTCCCAGCTGGCAGCGGGTCCAGTGGGCTGCAGCTGGGCTGGAGGTAACGGGGCAGGCCACCACTTCTGCGTTGGGCTGACCGAGGAGCATACGAGTGGTTACGATGGGCGGGGCGTACGGGCACAGACGAGCTTGACCACAGGTGTCTAACCAAGTAGGCAGCTGATCTTCGTTTCTAACGGATTTCCAGTCCTGGACGCGCATATGTCTTCTGACAGGATTTCTAATGGCGCTGCCACTTGGCTGAGGAATCGGCGACTGCTATCGCTAATACGTGCGAGCTGTAGCTAGATTTATTCGATCAAGCCTTCTGCAGGTTCCATCCACGCCATGCATCTATCTTGCAGCTGTCGAGAACAGACAGTTGCTCGGATGTATGACCCGAACTGAGATCCCGTTGTGGCTCGCGTTATCCACGCCTGTGCGCCCGGGCTTTGGCGGTTGAGGAACGAGGAGGCCGGCCCGCGGCAGACTTCACACGGTCACATCACACCTGTCTGAGGCGGCCGATGTGAGGTGTCGCCCACACGGCGCGCGGCGGGCCGTGACAAACGGCCGCTCGCTCTCATCTGTGTCGCGTAACGGACACACGGCTGACGTCACTTCGCGTGCGTCACGTCCCTTGAAGTCGTCTGATGTCACGAGCCGACACGGACTGGTGCCGGCTCAGCGGCTGCCGCCGACACGTGTGGGCACGCCGCGAACTCCTTGTCTCACGGATACGGGGTTGATCAAACAGAGGTGGCGACAGGTCCTGACGACACAGCCGTCGCTGATGGACACTTCACCTCGCCGGCGATGTGCCGCCAGATCCCCTGCGAGCGCGGCACATGACCAAGCCCGCCATGCAGATCATCCTCAAACCATCATCATTATCATCATCATCAACCACAGCCATCATCAACCCGCCGTCTCAGAAGCTCGCCCGCCGTGATCCTGTTTGTTCCGACGTTCGGTCGGATGCCGCGCGCCGCCGGGCGGCCTCTCCCAGGTGGCGGCGGGCCGGGGCCGGGGCAGGGGCCCGGCCGCCGCTCGCCGGGGGTCGGGGACCGCCGCCCGCCGCCGCCGGGCGCCGGACATGTTTGCGGCCCAGCCTCGAGGCCTCCGAGAGATCGCATCGCAGATCGAGGCGGCCGCAGCCGGTCGGGGTTCGGTCCGGTCCCGGGGGCCGCGGGCACCGGTCCGGAGGTGTGGGGTGGGGCGGGGACCAGTCCGAGGGCTCCGGGCCCCGGACCGGCGCGACCGGACCACCCACGCACCCATCGGCCCGCGCCAACGCTCGCAGTATGGGCCAGCACAGTCATTCGCTGGGCTTTTTAGTTCGACAGCGGTTTTGACGGAAGCGAATTGATGGCGACGTTCCGCACGAGGGATGTGCCGCGCGCGGCTGGTGCTGCGCGCGGGCGCGCGGCTGCGAATCCGGCTAAAAAGGTGTCTATTCCTGGACGTCTTGGGCGGCGCAATGACAGCGGGATCATCATTGGTGCATCCTAAAACCCAAGTCATAGCCATAGAAATGAGCTGCGGGATTGGTAGGGCTCTTCACGGGCCGGATAAGTTCATGAATGTAAAATTTGTGGCGAGATTGCATTGGACTGAAATAGGAATCAACAAGTGGCACAGATCAGGATTTGACTGGGCTTAAAATTTGGTCAGGGAATATGTGCTTGAACGGGCTGGGCTCAAATTCAAGTTAGGGAGCAGTAGATCTGCCCCATATTTGCCAAGTGATGAATTTAGGCTAAAAGCGTGGGAACGTCTCAGAAAGGAAAGGCTGGCTGAACCAATTTTGAAGCCCTTTTGTGCGCCGCAATCGTGACGCTGGTAAAAATCCTCGAAAATTGGATGGGGTTGTCCTCTTGCCCTCTGTCCCTGACTGTATATATATATATATACATATATATATATATATATATATATATATATATATATATATATATATATATATACATGGGTATATATATATATATATACATATATGTATATATATACATGGGTATATATACATATATGTATGCATATATACATGGGTATATACACATATATGTATACATATATACATGGGTATATATACATATATGTATGCATATATACATGGGTATATACACATATATGTATACATATATACATGGGTATATATACATATATATATATATATATATATATATATATATATATATATATATATATATATATATATACATATGTGTATATATGTATGTATACATATATGTATACATATATGTATACATATATGTATACACATATATGTATACATATATGTGTATATATGTATGTATATATATATATATATATATATATATATATATATATATATATATATATACACATACATATATATATATATCGGTTATGTCGATCAATACTTTCTGCTGACTGGTTAGACGGCAATGATTATGGAAATCGTGAGAAATGCGGATGGACGGTCGGATTGATTTTAATATTGGAGGATAATGTTGGACTGGATCCGGAATGGGCACCCGCTAATTCCTGCAGTCGGTCCGCCGTAAAACGCCGATTATCGCCATGGACCAGGTTCTGGAAATTCATTCCACAAAGAGCTTTACAGTTGATACGCCGCCGCGGCGCGCGGCTCTGTCAGCCCTCAACGCTCTACAGGCGGGCGCGGCGTTAGCGGCGTGATCACCGCCTGCCATCGGCGGCAGTAGCGGCGGCATCGGACCGCCGCACGCGAGGCCGCACCCTCGGCGCCGTTCTTAAGCGGACGGCTAACCGGCGGACAGCCTGAGGACGCGCACATGTTCACAGTCCTGCGCCGTGGAAGACATTGGTCAGTGAGGGCTGGACATCCCCGGCGGGGCGGCGGCTTTGGACCGTTGTTACGGTGTTGTTACGGTACACGCCGCCGGGTTCCCACCGTTATAGCTGAGGCGCCCCAGGCCTACAACAGCCCTTCCGCCTGGTCTGCCAATGGCAAAACGGCCGCGAACGTTGATCGGCGTCGCGATCCAAGCACACACCATGCAGCCTCAGACAGCACAGCAGACGACCGCAACACAAATCGATCACCTGCGGCGGCGTCCAGTCGCTCCCGGCCGTCGCCTTGACAACCCAACCCACCAATCACGACGTCGGAGACCGTCGCGTCATCGTGCCCTGGGGCGACTCCGGCCTCTGCGTGAGCCGGCGGCGCGCCAGCGGCTTGACCCGGGCCAAGGGGTCAACGGGAACACCCCACCCCGTCGGCGGCCTCCCACGGGGTTAGCGGCCCGGCGTGAGAGGCGGTGGGCGCGGCACGGGCAGGCGCCGGCGCCGGGCTGCCCTGGGCAGTGGGCAGCCCCGCGGGACGTCGGTCGGACGCCGCGATTATAATTGCTCCATGATTCGGCCGAGGACGGTTAAGCGTTTTATCGGAGGGCTAATTACATCCTCGTGACGACGTGGGCGCGGCCTGTAAAATTGCCCCGTCTATAATGTGCTAGAGTGACTTGAGGATATGCGTTTTTTGCGCGATATGTGGACAGCTTTGGCTGGTTCCTGCGACATCATGTGTCTCCAGTTGTCACGGCAGCGACTCGTGACACGTTTCGTTAATGCGCTCCTCTCGACGCCTCGCCCAAGGGCCGGCTGGCTCAGGTGTGCCAGCGTTCGATCCGAGTGCTGACGCTCGCTGCGTTCCCGCCTCTCTATGTGAGGCTTTAATCTCGCCATGCGAGGAAAGCCGCGCTATCAAAGACGCCATCGATTGATAAGGCCTATCGGTGAAACAGTGGACGCTTTGGAGGCGGAGCGCATACATGCCAGATAGCCTTCTATTCGAGGCTCCAGCCTTTAAATTGTGACACAGGTTCAGGAAAAAAGTTTGCTCAGTGCCCGATCTGTAGGGTCAGACAGGTGAGGCTGTTAGGCCTCACCTGTCAGGCCTCAGACAGGTGCTTCACACCCCCAGCTTATCTACCCTTACACTGCATCCGTGTATATTTTTCCTATGTTATATGCACCCAGCATGTTCTTCTGCAGTAGCGGCTATGCGGATGGTTGATCTCCCCCCACCTGGGTGTACCAGCATGGCCACTATCGCTCCTCTCGCGTGGTCCGCCGGCCTAGTGACAGGTTGTTCTCCCAGCTCGGCGTGTGTCAGCACGGCTGAACGCAGCTGCCGGACCTCGCTGGACTCGCCATCGATCCTCGGCGATCGGACACAGCGGCAGATCCCGCCCCATGGGTCTTGTGGTCATGTTTACGCGACCCGCCGTGGGCTTGGTGAGACGGGAACAGTGCCGTCAGAAGATCGCGGACGTAATGTGAGAATGCCTCCACCGCCGTGCGAGCTCGGTCCCGGCTCCATGCGTTCTCGTGCATTCGTGCTGAGTGCCGTGTTGAGCCATAAGGTGTGTTTGCGACCGTTGCCCTTTGGCTCGTGATAACGCTACTTGACCGGGACGTCAGCAAGGAACATGCATCCTCCTCCGTGAGTGTACCCTCTCCACTGACATTGACCCCATCGGAGTATCACTAGTGACGGGCGCAAGAGTGTGGGCTTTTGCCCGGCTCCTGTCCGCCGAGCTGCGGCTCTGCGTCCCGCCTGCCGCTGATCTGGTGACGCCCCTGCGCTCCAGGGCGAGTCATGACCTCGACGGAGCTGCGCCGCCCGGTGTACGGCGCCGGCGCCGGCGGCCGCATACGCGACTTCTCCAGCATCAAGTCGGCGTTCGAGGGCTCCTCCAAGACGGTGAGCGACGTCGGCGGTCCCGGCGGCCATCGCCGGACCTGCCCCGGGACGGACGGTGGGGTGGGGTGTGCACGTGTGCTCCTGTACGGGGTGGCAGCGAGTGGGTTGGTCGCAACGTGGCTCTTGAGACGGCCTCGACTGTGTGTGGTATTGCAACACAGTCAAAGCGCCGTCCGTGCCCGTTCTCCAATTTGTATAAAAATTGTACCTTTATGCGACCTGTTGAGAGATTTTTAGTCAGTCGAAGACGTTTTCTCTTCTATCTTGTTTTCCCTCTCGGACGCTGCAAGCGCATTTTGTACATGGACAGGGCCGTAGGAAGCTCCTCATAAGTGAGAGAGCCAAGTCATTTGTAATTTTAAGCCGAGTCTTTCCTAGCATCATCATTAGACTAATGCTAAGTTTCACAAAAAATATCCGTGGCTATTTCCTTCGTGGCCTACCCTTTTCGCCCTCGGCCCGATTCCCACGGATGGGCATTTGTGCCAGCTGTGTTTTAAATTTTCCAACCATTTTGAACCATTTGCATGGCTGTGCGGGGTTTACAGCATAATAAATACGTTTAAAGCCAGTCCATGTACTTTGAGGTAGACGAAAATCAGTCGGGCGCTTTTACAAGAATGGCATCCAGATACGAATCCATCACATCTTTTGTGGAAAAGGTTTACCGTACTGCATTTGGCCGAGCTTGCGGTCTCACCTGAATGTTGTTAACGGTCGCATGCCACATGTTTTGCGATGTGCGAATCATTCAGTGTTGAACGCGGCCCGTGCTTTTTCCGTCCCGTAAATCACAAACTAATCCAGGGGCTTTCTGTCCAGTCCTACAGACATACCAAGCGCAAGTGTTTATCGGCGACGATCGATATTAGGTGGACACAAGATGTTGGCAGTCGGCGCGCCCCAAACCCCCAATCACCAGCAGGAGCTATCGTTGGACCTGACCTGCTTCGAACATTCATGATTTGCCGTCAAATGGGCTGAGATCGTCGCACCGTGCACACATTTTAGCATCGTCACGTAGCCCGCAGAATCCAGTGACCGTTGATACAGCTGACGCCCTCGTACTTTTTTGCTGTGTATGCTCCCGATTCCGCGCCGATGGTTTGTGACCTTTGAACGACCTTGTGGCGTTCGTGCGCGTCCACACGTAGATATCGTGTCTTAGATCACGGAACTGTGCGTCATATTAATTTTTATGATGTTTGGAAAGCTACAACTTATCGCGTGTTTGGCAGCGCGTTTATGATTGCGAGTACCATGTAGAATGTTTTTGGGATTCGGTCAACAGTCAACATCCCGACAGAACCGAGATAAAAACTTGCTGTCAGGCATTCGAAAGCTGATCGTTCGAGACTCAAACGAGTGGAGAAAGGAAACCTTGTGGTTAGGTTGTTAAGAATGCCTGATCTGATGGACGAAGTTATGTCGCCTCTGTGTACTTAAATGATCTCTTGTATATATTTGTGCATGGAAATTGAAGTAAAGAACGCATGCCCGAAGGCAATGATTGGCCATGGCCTAGAGCGCTGGCGTTCTCCACATATTCATATTATCCGCCAATGTTCTTGTCAGACGTGATTGCTCACACAAAAGGAGTCAGCTTTGTCTAAGCGCACTTTTCGTATTCATGTACGTGCAAGCGAAGAGACAGCCCTATATTTGTTCAGAAGTCCAAATTTCATGCCGTACAATGGAAAAACATGGAGGACGAGTATTTTCTGCCCCGTTGCTTATTTTCGTACCGCCATGCACATTTATCTTCTTTTCTTCGCTACTTCATCATGTCATCTATCGGTGTTTTAGATTTATCACTTGACGGCTTGAGTGGTTGTAAAGGCCAAATGATTCCCCGGCCGCAATGAAGACTGGAGAAGTGAGTGTCTGAAAAATAGACCTACCACCGGGCTCAGATCCAGCATGCCACGTTTGGCTCAGTCAGCGATTCATCTAGCTCGTCTTCCGTCGAGTATTGACGCCCTGGGAATCCATCATAATCATTGGCCGCCACCAGCAGCTCGTCGACGCTGATTCGTTTGTAGACGCGACACGGCCGGCCGCGCTCCGTCAGCTGACTGTCGCCTCAGGCTTTTCTGGCCGCTCGTGGACATGCAAATTGTTAATGCCTGTCTAGGTGTTGGAGGGGTTAAGTGCGACGCTTCCAGAAATGAATTTATCGTTATGTTGGTACGAGGACCAGTCGAAGCCCAGGCGAGAAAGCAAGGGATGAGCCACAGGCCATTTCCTCCTGAGAGAGTTGGGTGCCGCGGGACAGCGGATAACAGTTGGCGTGATGCAGCTCTGTACCCCGGTCCGGACGGCGCCGGCCGGTGTGATGCAGCTCTGTTCCCTGTTCCGGGCGGCGTCGGCCGGTGTGATGCAGCTCTGTACCCCGGTCCGGACGGCGTCGGCCGGTGTGATGCAGCTCTGTTCCCCGGTCCGGACGGCGTCGGCTGGTGTGATGCAGCTCTATACTCCGGTCCAAACGGCGTCGGCGAGCAGGGGTCTCTGGCCGAGAGCTCTGTAATCCCGAGCCGGTCCAGCCCAGCCGCAGCTCGGCCGACGGGCAGGAATTCCGGACTGGTTCTGCCGGCCGGCCTCGGGCCATGGCCGCCGCCGCCGCCGCTGCAGACCTACACACAGGGGTGGGCCGCGCCGCGCCGCGCCGCGCCGCAGGCTGGGGCACAGGTGGGTCTCAGGTCGCCTTCGAGGCCGCCGCTGCACACACGGCCGTGCCGGGACCGGTGGGCGGGGGCGATGGGTCTCCGCTCGTTCTGAAGGCCACCGCTGCACACCCGCGCTCCGTGTTGTCGGGGCATGGGCGGGTCGCTGCCGAGGTCGGCACGCGTTGTCACGGCTGGGATGGGGGTCGTGAGGTGATGGGACGCAGCGGTAGGTTCTGGGTCGGTGGGATGTAGTGGTCGATCTTGGGTCATTCTCGGGTCTGCCACTATTCTGAGGTGGGGCGTCCAGTAATGGATCAACGGGCTGACCGCCGTTGATCCTCCCTGGTGATACTCTTTGATACTGCTCCTCCTTGGTGGTCCTTATTAAGGGTCATGAAGAAAGGGGTGGCTGGCACTGGCTTGCTCCGATCGCTGGCTCGGCATGCCTCATGAATTATCGCTGTGGCAGCACGGTTGCCCATTCTGCGTCATCGTGTTGCTCACGAGCGGAACAAAGGGTCACACGTGTAATGCTTTGGTATGGTATTTGGGTTTTAAGGCCGGCCCAAGCGCAGCGGTCATTTTGCGCACGCGTGTAATGCGTCTAGTGCCGGCATAAAGGGGAAATTTGTCGATATTTCACGTCTGGCAGTAATGCGGTATGCCATTACCTGGCTGACAGTTGGCTTTGGGAATAATATGTAGCCGTCTGAAACATGGCCCTTTGATTTAGACTTGATCAGAACTGTGTTGCAAATAGATATCGCAGCTTATCTGCAGGGCAGCCACTTTCCTGCCGGCTCAGCCGGCTTCTTTGTGTCGGGGGCGTCGTGTTTGCCCAGTGTAGTTTGTTTTGCAGGATAGCGCCGGGGGGCATGCACGCGTCCGTATCTCCTGCCAGACCTTGTGCTCTAAGGACGCCGGCCCCGTTCTGACGATACGGACACAGTCAGCAGGTGCAGGGGTGGCGCAGCCCACAGCCCTCTTCTGATTCGTTTCCTGTGGCTGGTGACGCATTAACGTTGGTCAGTGAGCGATGGCTTAGTCATGTGGCTGTTTGTGGAATACTGCGGAAAGGGGACTGCAGAATGTATCTGGCTAGAAGTGAGCAATGCGTGCCAAGTACGTCTTATTTCCTTGAACCGCACTCACCGCGGTTTGACATTGTCAGGCTTGTGATCAAGCTCAGCCTAGTACTGTGCTCTGATTCGATAATTCAGAGCAACCATGCTTTGCCCTAAGTGTGTTCTTCCCCGCAATTTGGTACCACACATGCCATCTGTATAACAATGCCAGCAGACCAAAAAACATTCCCCAAGGGAGCCATGCACTACGACTGGTGAAGTTATTTCGTCTCCTGCGCTACGCACGTCGCCGCCGTGTTGATATCTTGCGCCGTGATCGCCGCGGAAGGCACCGTGTCCATGGAGAGCTTCCATATCCGCCTGAACAGTGGCTTCCGTGACGTGGTTGGCTCTTGATCTCCAACGAACTGAAGCAAGTTTTATGGGTTGATTGTGCTGACCGACCACGCCCGACACTTTTCTGACGCAGTTTTACAGCCGTGGCCGTCTTGCCGTCGCCGTGGTAAAAGACTGACGGAACCGAGCTCGTGGGGCTCACACATGGCACGTGGGGCTCACATGGGCGGCACCCGAGCTGCGTCAGGTGCGCCGCACTCGCCCGCTTTGTCCTCAGCCATCACGGCAGCGGTCGGGGGGAATGTGAGGAATACAAACACGATACTCCTTCTCGGATTGAGGTGGCACACCTGGATGTGGGCCTGGCCTGCTGACGTGTCACGGCGATCCGGATCGAGTACCAGCGCTGGGTAAAAGCGACCAGCTTCAGCTGAGACAATGCAATGTCTTAACCATATTTGATTCAGGCATGCGCTGGTTCCCCGTATGGCTGAAGCATGCCAGGTGGTTGTTCGCACATACATAAAATGCTATTCTCAAATCGGGATGCCCCAGAACATTTTGAGTTGATTGATCTCATTTGTAATGTAATGAAATATTGTGGTTAAAATGAGTGCTGATTGTAGTCTAACATTATTGCTAATGGACATCAGTATACCCGTTAACAGGGCACCTCATGACAGTGTTCCGGTAGCGGAATTAGTCCTTGGTGCGTCTGTTGTTTTTTCAGCTGATCCTGACGACTCGAGAAAAAAGGCATGCACAACGTACCATTTGGTTTATGTTCTGGTAGTTCTGTACCCGAACAAGCTGTGTTCACCGCAGGCAAGACACACTAGCTTGGTGCAAGTTTCATACGTGAAATTATTTGAAAATAAATATTTTTAGCGTCTGACGGTATAGATAGTTTTGT